CCAAGGAAAACCTCGAGTAAGTTTCTATTTTCTTGTAAGTTATACATGTTGATGTAGTGATTATTTTCCAACACAAAAAAACAGAGATAGGGTGGTAAAATCTTCCTCGTTGATAAATGCTTGTTTCAATTTTCTGTAGAATTTATATTGATATAGTGTTTAGTGATTTTATGTTTTATTATTTGGAGTGCATACAACATCAATTAATTGATGGCTCCTACAAATGATTGGCTGTAATATTTGCATTTATAAGATGAAGAAAAGTTTTCCTTTGATGTTTAGATCTAAGAAAAAGTAAAATGTTTTTGGCTTAATATTGCTTGTGAAAATATTCTTTTATGAAACTTCTACTAATTATTTATTTCAATTTTTTATAGGTGAAGCCAATAAATGAAGGATAAACAATAGCAATGAAGAACTTGGATGTATTAGTGGTCGCTGCTAGAGTTTCAGAAGTTTCAAGAATAATTTATTTTTGAACTTTTTGAAAATTTATGTGCGCCAACACTTGAATTGTCAAACACTATTGTATATTTACTTTTGTATTTGGATATACAAGTTGTATATTTTGGATTATAATTTTATTGATGAATAGTTTTCTTTTGTGATTTATGCAAATCTTAGTGCATTATATTTTATTATGTAGGTTAATTACTTATCACAACCAAATAAAAGGGTAAATCCTCACATTATTAAGTCGTTGCAATAGGTTCCAAAAACCGTTGCAATAGACTTAATAAAGTGTTGCAATACACTAGGAAACCGTTGCAATAGTCTTAACAAACTGTCGCAATAGCTCGAATAATCGTTGCAATAGCCTCAACAACCGTTGCATGAAGCGATATTGCAACATGCTCTCAACCGACCTATTGGCACGCGATCTGGTGGAACGGTCTTTAAATCGTTGCAACAGGTCTATCGCAACGGTTGTTCTATCTATGGCAACGGTTTTGCAACCGTTACAATAGGTCAAATTTCTGGTAGTGTGTGACCGTAAAAAAGTCACTAATGCTTACATTAGAATAGACTGTCTACATCACATCCGTAGGAATATGCCTTTCTCGGATCCTACGTGAATGCGGAGTTTACCATTTTCCCTAGACTTCACTTTTTCAACACTTGTATATATACTTTCTAAAGAGTCAGGCATGCTCTCGACACCAAGGGATAAGAGCTGATTGCTGGCGATGACTTGGTAAAGGGAATTTATGAGATAAGGTTTTCGAACCGGGTTACGATCGAATAGAGCATGGAACCAACAAGTTCAGTCGAAGTGTCGAACTGTGCACCCAACTGTACTTTTTTGTTTTTATTAGTATTACCTTTTGATTATCACCTTAAAGGCTACTGCCATAAGTCACCTATTTACGGCTTGTTTTGATGGTTGTTACTTGTTGTATTGTATCGTATCATTACTTTAAATACGATGGTTGTATTGATTGTTACTTTAATTTTATTATATCGTACCGTTAAATCCGTCGTTACGTAACGACGAAATGTGTCACTTTATGTAACGACTGATTTGGTGTGGTCGCGTCGTTACCTCGTCTCTCTCTCTCATCTCACCCTTCATTATTATTAAATAATTTTATTTTATTATTTACCCTATCTTTTATATAATAATTTTATCATGTATCGTAATTTTTCTTTATAATATAGCAAGTTTAATTATTTTACATATTGCTGGTGCATGATATCATGAAACGATGGCAAATGATACAATCTATCCAAACATTGTATTCATCAAATAATACAGTATAATACAATACGATACATTATGAAACGATACGTAACAACCATCCAAACAAGTTGTTATTGTCCTTATTCTTTCTTTGTCCCTCGATAGGCCCACTAATATTATGTTCGTTTTTCTACTTTGTTCAATTTCCTCATAAAAATACGAAATTATCTAAATGGTGGTCCCAAAATGGATGCTCGATCCCTGAAATTTTGGACTTCTAGGATTATAGACATATAGTAGTATATTGATAGTATCATATTCCTATTTCCTTTTAACAAAAGCAATAAAAATAATAATAGTAATAATAGGGTACATGTTGGTTGTCTTGTAAATATTAGACAGCTTAGAGAAAGAAAAGAGAGGGGCAAAAGTATAGAGAAGCAAAAATATTATAGCAGTCTATGCCTTTGCCTTGTAAAAAGACACTAACCATCGTTTTTCATGCTAAAGCTGACACCTAAGCTTGATTAAGATTTTCTAAATCTTTGTTTGTTTCACTAATGACAAAGGCTTAATTAAGATTCTTAATTAGGCGATTAAAAAGTCTTCTAAATTTTCTTCATTAATCTTCACTCTTCATCATGACTATGACACTTTTGTCTCTCTTTTCCTTATATTCCCTTTATCTCTCTTTCTTTTCTTTTCTTTTGCTTTTCATGCTTAAGGAGTCTTTAAACCTAATTGCTTAATTTACGTTAAGTCATGTACATTTGCATAATAAATTTGGCGAGGGATACATATGTCTCCCCTAGTAATCACATATTAATTACACAAACTTGTGCTAAGTCTAATTTGGCCATTTAATTAAGGTCAAATGTCTCTTCGAGTCCAATATGCTTGTTTAATATATGAGAATTTATTTTATATATAGTGGGTGGGGACTAAGCATAAAATTATATAGAACCCATAATTATGAACTAGAAGGTCTGAGTCTCACGATCCATCACTGTAAAAATTCATCTGCTCTGAATATTAGCACCTAATCAATGAATAGATATAAGAGATCTATGATGGGATTTCGAGCTGGATCACTCGTCACAAGCCCTATAATATATGAGAGTTTTGACAAAGTTGTAATGATAGTAAGATGATTTTTTACGAGGTTTTTCTTCATTCAATTCTCTCTGGTGAAGAGAAATATATAATTTAAATTTAATGGATTCAAGTTTTAAGTTCTTTGAAATATGATTATAACTTAATACTTACAATACATTTAAAATGTTTCTTATATATATTTATGACATTAGTAAAAAATGGCTAGTTTAATTAAACCTATATTTAAGTTAAATTATAAGTCTTCCTGTATATGCAAAGAATTCCAACACTCTAAATTTTCTAAAATGAAGTTGGTTCAAATGTAAGAATGTACAAAAATAGGCTGGACATCTAGTACAAAGAGACTAAAAAAGAATCTATTTTAAGATTCATACTTGATGTGAAGGTTGAAAATGGAATTAAGTAAGGTCACTTGAAAAATCAATATAGTCTTGTACTATAAGTTGTATAAATAATTATACCTAATAAAGTTAATTAAGTGCTTTTATTCAAGAATAATCATAGGTCAAATCAACATTGGCAGACATTAATGGGCCTTCAAAAATGATTCTTTGTTATCCTAACGAAAATTTATTTAATTAATCAACCATGTAAAGTGCTTAATTTACCTCACGCATGATAATTGTCGGACAAAAGGTATTAATATAATTCACCACAAAATTCTGTCAAATATAATAATATCAATTATGAGCATGTTTTCTTAAGACAATGCCAGGAATTACAGAGCTTTCTAACTCATTTGTCCCTCCCAAATGGTCATACCATTTTTCTTCTGCATTTAAATTATTATCTTTTTTTTTAAGCTCAAAATAGTATATGCGTTTTAAAATAAAGAAAAAAAAAAGAGTTGAAAATCTAATTATCATTCACTGTATAACATTTTTTATAATATTGTTCACCCGTATATCAATCACTATATTAAAGTTACATATTACTCGTCGATGACCTAAATACAAAACGAGAAACAAGAAAAATTACTTCATATTCCACACAATAACAAATACTACTAACTTTTGTGAAAATGCCTCTTTTCATTTCATCTCTTAGCTGTCCTACTTTGCATGCATGAGACTGAGAATGATATGCACGAGAATTATTAGTTGAAAGGACAATCATTTTAATGCTGTAAAACTAATTTCCCTTTTTATTGAATATATTACACATACTTATATTGTTTTTGAGTTTTTACAACAAGATAAATGATAAATCCTGTAATAATATTTCAAACTACCCTGTTGTGGTACTATTTATTGGATATTGCACTCATAAATATTGTGAGGAGATTAAACTCATTATTTATGCATTTTCTATGATATAAATTCGAATTAATTAAGTACTTTTTATTATGTAAATAGGAACAAATCAAGCAAGTGGTTTCTGAATTCCGGAAACTAAATGGTTAAAACAGAAAATTAAGGGGTTATTTAGTTTGAAAACAAGTTATGTTGGCGTTAGTTATACTAGAATTAGTTACTATATCGGTATTTATGTTGAGATTAGTTGTCTTGGCATTATTTCTTATTGACTGTTTAGTATGTTGTATAAGTCCTGCAATTTTCTATTTTACTGCTTTAACTTGGGATAAAATTTATCCTCGAATTATGATTCCATCATCTCATAAGTTTAATATTATCCCGACACTATTTTAATTCTGGTATGCCTTATTCCAAAATTAATAACCAAATAAAAGATAAGATAATACTATTTTTATAATATAATTATTTTTGCTTATCTATCGTACCAAGCGATCCTAAGAAAGCATTATCTCTTCCTTCAAACCTCTTATTCTTTCTTTTTTTTTTTTTAAATTTAAGATAGGAAAAGTAGTAGTACTAAAATAATATACTTTCTAAAGACATTTTAGACATTTACAAAACTCGAGAAAAAGAAAATGATTCCCATACTAATATTTGTTTCCAACATTTGGACAAAAGCAAAGGAGACAACCCAAAAACACTTTCAAGTAGTAATACCAAAAAGCATGGCAAAATACAAACCAAACCAAAAACCAAAAATCATGAGCTCGAGAAATTGAAATGAATGCAATTAAAGAAACTTGAGGAAGAAGAATTTTGACAGTGCTTGTTGCACTAGCAGACATATGGGTCCCATAATCATCACTAGCTCCACCATAGACCCCCACCCCCACCCCCACCCCCACCACACCCCTCCATAATAAACCACTATACATTCTCTTCATTATTCTTTCAAATCCATTTTCTTGAAATCTTACTCACAAAATCTTGAAAGTACCCCTTTTGAATGGAACCAACTCTTGGTTTACTTGACACTGGTGAAAAAGGTTGTCCAAATATGACCAAAGAGGAACAAGATTACAATATGGACATGTGTTCTGAGGAAGAAACAGAGCTTGAGTTGGGGTTAGGACTTAGTCTTAACAGTGGGGGTGGTGGGGGTAGTGGGGTGGTGGCAAAAGCTAAGAAATCAGCATGGGGTGAATATGGTAGAATTTTAACTGCTAAAGATTTTCCTAATGGATTTTCAGCTGCAGGAAGATCTATTATTAATAATGGCGGTGTTTCTTCTGGTACTAAAAGAGCTGCTGATTTTGTTGGTTCTAATACTGATGTTGGATCTCCTCCTACTGGTTCCAGGTTAGAATTTCTTAATTTTTTCCTAAAAATGACTTCTTTCTTTTAGTAATTTTTTTACATTTCTTCATGTTTATCCATGAGTTTATGTTTAGTTTACTCAAAAAAGTGTGAATCTCCAAAGGGTCTTAATGATCTTGGTTCTTATGTGAAGTTCCATTTTTGTTTGGGAAAATATACTGTATAGCACGCTCTCAAAAATACTAGTCGAAAAAATATATATTTTTATATATTAATGTATAATATACATATTTTATACATAATTAGTGTTATATTTTTTTGTATATTTGGCTAGCGGATGTAATTATTTTTGGCTTGGCTGACCGGCCATATGTGTAAGTTGCCCTTTGTTTCTAGTACTTTTGTCATTTGAGTATGTATTCTTTGAATTTGTTTTTGCTTTTGTCTTTGATTGGTTCATAAAGCAGAATTCATGCCTTTAATATTAAATTTTTTGCATTAAATTCATGTTTATCCATGAAAATATGTTTTTAGTTTACTGAATTAAGTGTCTCTCTTGAAGGGTGTTAATTGTCTTGGTTCTTATGTGTGAAGTATTAGTGTTTGTTTTCTTTATAGAATTTTTTGAGTATATATTCCTTGAATGTTTAGTATATTTTAAGAAGCTAACAAGGCATGCATCACTTTGTTCATCTCATTATCTTTAAATAAAAAATCTGCCAAAAGTTGTTTTTGGTTGCCCTGTCATTATGATAATCTATCATTATATTCCCCCATATTATAATCCTTCTTTTAGGGCCATATTGTAAAATTTTAAGTATTTCATTCATTTTGCAATTATTCATATAGCCCCCTTCTTTCTCTGAGGTTGCCCACATCTGCCCTTTACTTTCTGCACTTGGGTACAGAACATTATCCTTTTCTATTTTTTTATTTGGTTTGGTAAACAGGGTGTATGGAATTCCAGAAATAGATAAGTTATGGCTAATTAGGTAAAAAATAATTTTTTTTTTCATTCTTTTGAAGGGGAGCCTTGGAGCAACAATAAAGTTGCCTCCGTGTGACCTATATAGGTCACGGGTTCGAGCCGTGCAATCCGCCACTGGCTGCCTACATCACACCCCCTTAGGCTACGGCCATTCCCCGGACCTTGCGTGAACGCAGGATGCTTCGTGCACTGGCCTGCCCTTATTTTATTTTTTCATTCTTTTGACGTGTTTATTTTAGCTAGAATAATTACAAAGTTCTATTTTGGCTTCTTGATATGGATATAGTATAATTGATTCATTTATTTTGATTTCTGAAAACAGTCAAGTTGTGGGATGGCCACCCATAAGGGCATACAGAATGAACAGCTTGGTTAATCAATCAAAGGCTCTAAATGCTGAAGAAGATAAGGGAGTTGGCGGGAGCGATAAGAAGGAGCATTCAAAGAAGAAAATCAATCATGGAAATGCCAAGGACGACGCGACTTCTATCAAAGAAAAAGGGCATCTTGGTTTTGTAAAGGTGAATAAGGATGGTTTGCCTATTGGAAGAAAGGTGGATTTGAATGCTCACACTTGCTACGAATCATTAGCCAAAACCTTAGAGGATATGTTCTGCAAATCAACTAAAAGTATGTTTCTGTTTCAAAGTTCACTCTCTTGTTGTTACTTAAATTGGCTCTCTAACATCGCGTGGTATTGTTTATTGAAACTGCGAACCTATTTTACGTACTAGATTACACGAGATTGTATGTTAGTGATGTTTTTGTTGTGAAGTGATTGTTGATGTTCTGTTGATTTATGTTATGTAAAAATAGGTGGTGAAAAGGAACAAGCAACACAGTCTTTTAAGCTCTTGGATGGATCATCTGAATTTGTGCTCACATATGAAGATAAAGAAGGAGACTGGATGCTTGTTGGAGATGTTCCATGGGAGTAAGTACATTCACTTTAGTATTCCATAGTTGCAAAAAGCATGGATATATTAGCAAAGCCTAATACCTAGTAACTGCGCTGGTGAGAGGTAGCAAGTACCCCGTGGAATAGTCGATGTGCGCCCAAGCTGTCCCAAACACCACCTTCATAAAAAAACAAAATTGAAAGCTAGCAAAGCCTAAGTCTTCATTAGCAAGCCTGAAGTATTGATGATCTCAAGTATCAAGTACATTATGATGTGCTTTTTGGTGGACCTAGAGGGGAGTCTTGGAGCAAGGGTAAAGTTGTTTTCGAGCTGTGGAAGCCGCTACTAATGCTTGCATTAAGCTACATCACACCTCTAGGGGTGCGGTCCTTCCCGGATCCTACGTGAATACAAGATGTTTTTTGCACCGGACTGATCTTTCTTTTGGTGGACCTAATACATGAAAGCAAATGATCATCCCTTCATCTTTCAACAACCATCCCATCCTTAGAAAAAGGAAGTATAGAAATGAAAATGAATAAAAAGACAATAAGTAGTAGGCATAAAGCTAAAGGATAAATGAGTACATCACTAGCATAGAAGAAAATTAATAGAAAGTATGATCTATATATCTGAAAATCCAACTAGTTTTTGCCATCTAGTTCTTATATGTTGTAATATTTTGATGTCTTATAGGATGTTTGTCAACACTGTGAAAAGGCTAAGAATCATGAGGACTTCTGAGGCTAATGGACTTGGTATGTAATACAGGCATTGGCAAATGAACATAGTTTACAGTTAATGAAATTTTGCCTCTGCTTTTTGTCATTTTGTTTCCTTAGCTGTAATACTAATTACCTAGTTTATTTTCAGCTCCAAGAATCCCTCAGAAACAGGAGAGACAAAAAGGAAAACCAATCTAATTTGCTTTGGTGCAAGGAAATCACAGTTTGGAAGGAAAAAAAAAAAAAAGTAAAACAGAAATAGTGAAGTGTTAAAAGAGTTGATGGATCTTGTTACTTTTTCATGGTTGTCTCAAGCCCCTCATATAGTTGATACACCAATGTTTTGCCCAAACCTACCTTTTCTCATAATGTAAATATGGGAATGCTATTTTTCTCTTTTGTGTGTTTGTGTTTGTCTCAAGAAATTCTATTTATTTATTTATTTATTTTAATGTTGATCATTCTCTTTTTGGTTGGTGGTAAAGAGAAATATTGTCTAGAATTTATTTTAATGACATGAACAGTTGGGAATTTAAGCTGGATTTTGTACAAAATCCTATCATTTGCTTGCATAAAGTAAAATCTCTTGGTGCTAGGGTTATCAACCAAGATAGTACAAGTAAACTCTAAACTATTTTAGCGTGTCATTTCATCAAGAATTAGAAGTATGAGGTTATTTTGGCACAAATCTAGATTAGTTAGGTCAGTCAGCTTTGAATATTGGATTGAAAGGGCAGATCGGCGAACAAAGTATTCAGCATTTATGTAAGGTTCGAGGAAGGGCTGCACCCAAGAAATGTGATATAGACAACTTACTCTAAAGATTATTTTTACGACTCGAATCCGTGATCTATAATATGTTTTCAATAGCAACACTTCATTATAGCATAAAAAAATATCGGAACAAACAATATTATTATAGAAAAATTTAACTCTGTACTAATCTTTTTTTTTTTTAATTCTATAAAAGATGGTTGCTTCCCCCGATACACGTGTTTCGTAAGTCTAATCACTTTACCTTAATTTGGATAAGGCCAGAATACTCAAAAGGAAAAACTATGTGCGGCTTTATATTCTATGAAGTCATAATTCTGATTATGACTAATATTAGTCATTATAAACATAATTATTGATCCTTTTTCTTTTTCATTGATCAAATGATCACAACTGTATTCCAATACTTTTTGTGGAGTCCGTGAGAGAAAATAAATAAAATTTACTTGTACTCAATATTTTACTAATAAATGCTAATATTGTACTCCTACGTTCACTTTTACTTTTTCAATATTCTAAATATATATTTTCACTTTTACTTGTTACTTTTAGCATATCAAAAGAATATAATTTCTTTTTCCTGTTATACATACGATATTGATTATATTTTCAAATTATTTTCTCAAATCTATTAAAATTATGCATCAATTAATATGAGTATCATAGTAAACTATGCACTTTATTTATTACTTATTAAAGAGTGTGTAAAATTCATAATGGACAAGTAAAACTGAACGGAGAGAGTATTTTGGAACTCTCCTCCCTTTCAAGCTTTTCTTTACAAAAACTATTCAGGAAATGAGTCATTCCTTTGTGTAATAAACCTTTTTAATTTCTGTCTAATTTAAGTCACTTTAATCGTAAAACACTCTTAGTACTCTCGCAGTTTAAAGGAAAATTGCTCCTTGATCATTGCAACACACATCAAATTGAATAAAAACTCAACAACCGGCATAATTTTTTTTTCCCTCTCCTTTTTATTTTTCATGTTTCTTTATTCTTTTGGGTAGGGATCTTTGGAGTTTGGAGCACGTATACTTTATATTTACACACACTTAAAAAACAATATTAGTATAATAATTGATAAATTGAGATGGAATATATCAATTTAATCATGATTAAGAAATACAAAGATATATTAAAAAAAAACAATTGACATGCCTTGTTTAATTTGAATTCAAACACAAAATGCAAATTAGTAAGAATTAGTTATTATCCAGGGTTATATGATGGGACGCATAAGATCTCTTTATCCTTTATCAGAAATTAGAGCCCGAAAGATTATGGTAGTGAGCATTTCCCCCTTCAAACGAGTTTTACGCTGCAAAAATCCATATTAGTCAGGCCCAAATTGAATACCAAAAACGGAATAGAAACCAAAAAAAAAAAAAAAGAATTGGGTGGGTGGGGAGGGTGGAAGAGTGTTTCTAGGAGGTTCCTAACATAAAGTTGTATAACCCTCATGCGCCATCCATTGTGCTTCCTCTTTTTCCCAACAATAGGAACCCTACACAATGATGAAACTATCTGAGTTCAGATCTCAGTCACCAACTATTGTGTTTTTGTGTCACTTCCAAATCTCAAAAAGATCATTAAAGTTACCTTCCATTGTAACACTTTTTGGTACCTAAAAAAAGAAACTTATAGGTATCATAACTATTTGAAAAAAATAAGGGAAATTACCAGCTATGTCCATTTATAAGTAGTTCATTATAAAAATTGGCCAATTAATAAAATATTACTAATATTAGCCAAATTAGCCAATTAGCTATTTGTAGTAAAAAAATATCAAATTTTTGCTTTGTTTTGAGTGGGTGTTATTAGAATAGATTGAGCACAACTTAAAGAGCTTGAATCTCAGTTTTGGGATGATTCGGTGATGTTTTGAGGTGGTTTTAATTGAAAATTCGAAATAAAAGCTGAACATGAAAAAAATGATATGTGTATCACACTATGTATCATTTGTGTATCACATGTGTATCATATTTGTATCAATTGTGTATCACATGTATATCCATGTATACATGTGTGTGAGATACATGCGTGATACATGTTTGATACATGTGTCGCAGAAGATTTTTTTGAACTCGATTTAATTAGGAATTTCGATGCAAAACCAGTCCAAATCACCTCCAATCTTCCTCAAATTTTGTATATTGACTTATCTATATATTTTCAATGAATTTCAACTATACCCATTGAAAAAGTTTCTTTTTTGTTTAGATTTTTGGAATATTGTATAGATTTTTGTATTTCATCGCCTTATTTGCTACCCCGTCCATGAAATTTCCTTTCCGTCTTGTATCTAATGTTTCTAATCACGCTTAAAAATATGGAAGGTGATTTTTGCATGTGATTCTTTGAGAGAAAGAATCCTATTATTTGGTTTTTCAATTTTCGTTGGCTAGTTTTGGTAAGTCTATGACTAATGGCTAGAGGTTGGTAAGTTGAGATTTATTTGGGACATTTGTGTAAGTTTCCCGAAAAATAACTTGTATGGGGCAAAAATTCGGACTTATAACCAAGTGTACCAAAAGAGATGTGAGACGTGGGAATCCGGACCCAGGGAGAGTCTAGTATTCTTGGTATCGTAGCATGTGGCCTCGACCGATAGATCTGATATTGTGGCAACCGATTCCCCGAAGTGACAGCGTACTAAAAATCACCTGTTTACGGACGCAAGTTACCGACGGACACCAGGCTTTACCGACGGATATCCTTCGGCAAGTGGTTGGTAGGTAAAACCTTCATCGGTAAAATAAATCGACGGAATCCGTCGGTAAGTACCGACGGACCCCATCGGTACGCCATCGGTACATTTCTGAGGAGAGCTGGTCAAATAATTTTTTGTACCAACGGATATCCGTCGGTATATTATAAAATAATATAATAATAAAAATATCTATACCGACGGAGATCCATCGGGTAAATAAAAATAATAATTTAGTAATATAAAAATTAAAAATATGAATAAATTCATTTTCGAATTGCTATCCGTCGGTATTTTCAATAAAATTCGAAAAATTGGTACAAGCATACCGATGGCTCCCTCGCTAATTAAAAAATTCTGGATTGAAAATGAATAATTATTCCGATGGACTCTGTCGGTAAGTCCCTCGGTAAATCTGGTACATTTTTGACAAGCAGTGCCTGTTTTTTTTTTGCACCACCTGCCAGCAGAATATTACAATACAAACTAAAATGCAACCACAATAAAACTCAACTTAACAACAAAAAAACTTTATAAACTATATCTAAACATTCAAATTATCCCATCAAACATCCAAATTATCCCATCAATCATCGAAACTATCCAACCAAACATCAAAACTTAACATTCAAAGTTAACATCCAACTAAACAACAATCCAACCAAACATAAAATCACTCATCTTCGGGTTCCTCCTCATCTTCTTCATCATTTGTATTATTTCCATCACTTTCATCCTCTTCATAAATGTGGCTTTTTGGCGGAGACCGTCGGCTTCTTTTTGGCGGAGAGCGGGGCAAGCCGATTAAGTGATTCACTTGAGCCTTGAGGGACTCAATGTCATTCCTAAGTGCGTCTCTAATCTTCTCTTCATGCTTCCTTTTTTTTCCGTTCATCGGCACATTTCCTAGAAAGTTGTTGAATTATTCGCCGCATCTCCTCAAGGTCCTCATTTTGCACGGTGGCGGATGTCCCAATACCTTGTAATCCACAAAAGAGAAGTGGAAAAAACACACGAAGAGTTAGAATTGAATAATTCAACACCTGACTTCATAAGCTTCAACTAGGTAAGAGAACACAATAGAAACACCAAGTCTAGAGATGATTAATTCTCACACTTAAAAAAAGTGATCAAATAGTAAAAGCTTAACAGAGCAGCTCAATAGCAGTTCATAAGCTAAATGATATACCAAGCCTTCTATGCAAATGACACTTAACAAAAAATCATAAACCAGATAATATTTGTGTCGGTAAACAGGTGATTTTTAGTAGTGTTAATACCAATATAATATTTGTAGCTTTTAGCATTTTATCCGACTTCAACATTATATTATGGTATTTTAAACCAACTGAACAGATCGAGTCAATACAATATGCTCCATATATTATTATTTTGTCCAGATCCTTCCTATTGTTTATTAGGTTGAGTTAGTTTAAATTGAGTACGTTTGTCAGAGAGGAAAAGAGATTGATTTTCTTCCTTTCATATGAGGTTAATTTAAAATGATGGTGAAATCTTGAAAGGGTAGGGGGAACAGACTATAGGGGCTATTATAGGAATATTTTGTTTTTGTTCAAAGAAACTTTACATAAAAACCTAAACTGTTCAAACACAGAATTTGAAGTTTCATCATCTTTCTTTACTTTAAGTGAAGGATTCCACTAATCATACCAACAAAAAGAGAAATCAACCAAATCATAACCCTACTTATCATTATACCCCCATGAACTACTCCATTTCTCCCTTTTATGTGAGATATATTGGAAAACAAAAAAAACAAGAAAACAATGATTAATATTACAACACCTTCATGCCATAAAATTTGTAATTCATGAATCAAAGGCTGCAAATATACATCAATCAAGCTCTTTGGATTGCGGGGACCAGGGATAATGCAAGTTAGGAACAAATATGGACTTGTCATACACATCTCAGGTGGAAGATTATACGATGTGACAAAGACGGGCCAACATGACTATGGAGTAGCTGAGATACAAAATGGTGTGAATCCATCAGCACACAAACCCAACCGAATGTTCCTTGGTTCATTAGCAAAATCTGGAAACACTCTATCAAAGTGCTTCCATGCCTCTCCATCAGATGGATGACATAGAACATCAGGTGGCCTTCTATTTTCATAGTGCCACCTCATGTGTGGAGCGGAACTCATCGATGCATACAACCTTTTCAGCCTTGGTATAAGAGGTAAATAATGCATAGACTTAACCGCAACCTTATTCCCGCTGACAAGCTGTTTAAAGCGAGACATTCCACAAAATTTACAGTTCTCTAAGTTTACATCATCCTTATAATACAACATGCAACCCTTTTCACAACAATCAATTCTCTCGGAAGAAAGCCCTAACTTGGAAGCCAATCTCTTTGCCTTATAGTAATTATCGGGTATGTCTAGGTTCGGATTAAGTTCTTTCATAAGCTCAATCATGGAGTCCATGCCCGCTTGAGAAACACTGGCATCTGATTTAATACTTAGTAGTCTAGTCGCTACAGACAACTTAGAGTGTGACATGTTATTGCAAAGTGGACGACTAGCAGCCTCTAACTGTGCATAAAAATGATTTGCCTCTTCATTGGGAGCTTCATCAACATATTGTTGGTTGTCATCCTCATTGTACATTCCAAAAGCATTCATAACCATTTCATGTAATCTAGGATCTTGACTACTTCCACCAATATCAAAATTATGGTTATAAATATTACCATCACTACCCTCAGTCTCCCCATGACTAGTCCACACATAGTAATTATCCATAAAGCCCTTACTATATAGATCAGTCTTAACATCCTCTAGTTTCAACCATTTTCTGCACTTGCATTTCGCACAAGGGCACCTAATCATCTCCTTATTTTGGCTAAATGACACATCATGATTAATAAACTCATCAACACCTTGTACAAATTCATTTCTTAAACCTCGCCGATTAGGAAGATTCCTATCGTACATCCACATACGATGTTCCATCTACATATACAAACAACAAATTTATTATTCTTACTCATATAATTTTATAACAATTACAACATAAGAATGTTGACAGTGACACTACAACAAAAAGGACTTCTGTAGATTTGACCTAGGCTGGGCAACTTATGCAAAATGCAATTTCTATTCTAACCCTGCCCATTCGAAAGGTTAACGAAAAGCATTAGTTCTGTACTCCACTATTTCCTTTTTGAAACCATTAAAGCCATAGAAACAAAGCCCAAGGAATCCAACCACATATAAGATAGTTCCTTGAAAGGATAGAATCAAAGAGCTATTTGAAATAAGAAGCAAATAAAACTATGATTCTTACTATAAATTCACATAAGGAAAATATGAAATGTTTTAGCAGTGATAATTGCACAACACATCTGCCATGAGAAACACCTACCAACCCAAAAATCGACGAACTGAATTATAGATATTAGACATAAACTACAACCTGCATGACTCAACAAAAATTGTAGGGCATTCATTACACAATGGTATGATATAATATAAATATTAAGTACTATCTAGATAAACATAAAGTGTTACAAAGTTCACATTAGAAGATAAATTCTTTACAATGGACTGAAATAGACATGAATAAAGTGTTACAAAGTTCAAGGAATTCATGCAGTCATACACTAGCTAATATGAGATTGAGGCGTATGTAGTTAATTAATTGATTATTCCGATTGTCAACCTTTTCTTTTCCTTTTATTTTATAGGTTTCTAACTTCTTTGAAGTAAATCTCCTAATGTGTCTCAACTTGAAGTTTACAAAGTTCCCACAGAAAAGCAAAAGAACATACCAAAATTACTTTGCTAATTTAATTATTTCTTTAAACACACTTCAGAAGCTATTTTGCTGATCAAGGGTTTTCCAATAAAATTAGTTGCGTTAATTCTGTATCAATAACAACATAGAAGCATGACATAAAAGCATATGAACTTGCATATAAAATTAATGCAACTAGACAATCAATGTACATGAGAGGAACCTTTGACTGATCTCAGATTTATGTAGAATCATGTTTAAACCATCAATTTAGCAAAAATAGAGATGAACACATGGGTAAATATTCAGACTAATTAGTAATTAACTTAAGCATGGTGTTTCAGGTGTGAAATAATGATCCTACAACATGGCTTCCGAATTGATACTTTCAACTTATCCGAATTAACAAATCTTAACGCTGAACTACCACTCGATGAGCAGAAATAATTCGAAAATAGAGAGGAAAAAAAACTCACCGGATAAAGTTGCCTGAAGGTCACCGATGAGCGCTGAGTAGAGAGTTAGCCGCGTACAATCTGGAAGGAGTCAGCGGTTCTTCGAGAGTTAGCTTCTTCGTATAAACAGGGAGCGCTTCTTCGAGAGTTGGTAGGGTTTTGTTCTTTTCCCAATTCCTTTGCCCGCCTTCTAATTACCTTTAGAAATTAGATTTTATTCTTTTTACTTTTAAAAACGATATTTTTTTTTTCAATGTTCGTTGCTACTGAAGTCAGCACACTTTTTTTATAAAAACTCCAAGAGTCTCCTTAACAGGACTTCTCGTAAATGTCCAAAATTCACCTTCTTATATTTAAATATTATTAAATAATTAAATAAGGTACATTTCAATTATTTAGAAGGTTCTTTCATCAATTTAACTTTTAACTTTTGGGGTTCCCATTTTTATAATGGCACATAATGGTAAGAGAATCCAATTAAATTATTTTTCAAATTCATCATATGAGTAAATTTATTTTTCAAGTTAAAAAAAAGACTTATGATACATAAATTTATTTCATAAAAAGAGTATTAGAGATTAGAAAAATAGAACACAAAGTAAAAAAGATTAGTATGATATTAAGAATGTCATACAAGTGTTTGAGTAAGCACAATCAAAGCTAAGTCCTGAACAAGAATAAGCTTTCAAGACTATATTATAAAAAGTCGACTCTGGTATAGCGAGATTATCCTTTATAGATGATGTCCCTTCATTTTGAATTCACGTATTATGCTAATATAATAATATTTTTCGGCATTTAGATGATTGTTGTAGTAATATATATAAAATTTCTCTCATTAATTAAATTTTATTATTCCTTCATCTAAATAAATATTTAAACCATTATGTGCCATTATTAACGTGCAACGCGCGTTTATATATATATATATATAAGCTAATCAATCGCTAATATTTCTTACTAGTATTACTAATACACTTCTACTTAGTGTAATTCTTAATATATAAGCTAATCAATCAGTAATAGTTCTTAAGTTAAGACTATACTAATACACTTCTACTTAATTAGTATAATTATCAACGTATAGGCTAATGAATCACCAACATTACTTCAGGATACCACTAATATTACTTAATGATACTACTAATAAACCTCTACTTACTTTAATTATCAAACTAAAGATAAACAATCACAAACATTCCTCACAAATAGCATTATACACTTCCATTTAGTGTATAATTATCAATGTATAGGCTAATCAATCACTAACGTCGCTTATATAAGGATGGCACTAGTTCACTAATACTTAGTGCCATTATTAATGCATATAGGCTAATCAATCACCAACATTACTTATAGGTATATTAATAATACACTTATATTTCGTGTAATTATCAATCTACAAGCTAAATACAACTAATACACTTTTGCTTAGTATATTATCAATGTGTATGATAATAAATTATTAACGTTACTTAAAGATACCATTAATACACTTCTGCTTACATTAATTATCAATTTATAAGATAAATCATCACTAATATTTCTTATGGAAACAACTACATAATACAATTCTTCTTAGTGTGTAATTATTAATGTATAGGTTAATCAATGTAGTTAAGGATACTACAAATTTACTTTTACTTTGTGTAATTATAAATTACTAAGCTAATTACCACTAATATATTTTTAATTAGTAGTGTAATTACCTTCACTTAGTGTAAATTTCAATAAATAGGCTAATCAACCACCAAGATAATTAAGTAAATATTTACCGAGGGACTTACCGACGGCCTCCCTCGGTATTGTGTAATAGAAAATAAAAAATAATTATGCATAAGATTATATATTTAAATTACCGACGGAAGTCCATCGGTACTGTAAAAACAAAATTCAAAATATTATATAAATGCAATAGCGATGGAGTACGTGGATAACTTTATTTTCTTTTTCATTTATTTTTTTAAAACAACGACAGACACCCTAAAAAATAATTCGAAATTATAAATACAAAATGTTCCGAGGGAGTCTGTCGGTAATTTACCGACGGAATCCGTCGGCACAACCATTTAAATTTTGACCGGTCAAAATATCATTATTTACCGACGGAAGTCCGTCGGTTCCTTTTTAAAAAAATTAAAAATCAAAAAATTCAAAAGTATCGAGAGACTCCGTCGGAAAGTCCTTCGGAATACCGACGGAAAAAAGTCCGTCGGTACTGCTGCGTCGGTAAACAGATGTTTTTTAGTAGTAACTTAAACGAATAAATGAAAGTGCTCACTTTCTAACAAGTTAAATGCATAGGTCCAGGAGTTCACAATTCAACATGTTATCAGAATAAGAATAAACAGAAGTCATGAAGTCGAATCTCATCCCATCGACAAATGGTTAGAGCAAACAAAGAGTACATGAACATTAACCTTTTAGGCGAGACGATTCACACAATTCAGCACGTCTACACACTAGCTAGCCGTGTGGTAAACTTGGTGCATTCACATAAGACAATAGCCAATCGAATGTAATGAAGAAACGCCTCTACTCTTTGAACCAAGTCTTTGCATAAGCTAAATCAAGTGGCTCGTGAGTGACTAGCCAACGTTTCACTTTCCACGAGTAAATAAATGTAACTATAGTTAAGAGAACTAGAGAAACCTAAATTTTGCCAATCTTACTTCATTGAAACACGAAGTCCTCAGGTATACCAACAATACACAATGCATTCAAGCTTAAGTGCGGCTTAATTAACATGAACGATCAAGCACGTTAAAGCAAATTAAAAACTCTCGGTGGATCAGTAATGTGACCAGTTAATGTTAATGCTGCAGCTGTATATGGAGATGCAAGATAAATTTGACCTTCCTTATGACCCATTCGTCCAGGGAAATTTCTGTTTGTGGTTGAGACACAGACCAGCAAATCAAAATGCTCGTTGGGGTCAAGTTGTTGCGCGTTGCAATATAGTGATGACCTTTCATTTCATTGTTAATAAGTAATTAACTTGAAGAACTAGCCATAAGACGAATGAGCTAATCTTGTAAGGACAAATCAATCAACTACCTTTTAATGCTAAACTGGTTGAAAAAACTTCTGATCTGCAATGCAAAGACCACGTTATTGACCCAGGCAAGAATATAATTTAAATTACAATATCAAGTATGCTGAAATGGTATGACAAACATTTACAACTAGACTCCATTGAATAAGGCATTATGCTTTAAGGTAAACTGCAATTTGACTGTATAAACATCGTGGCTCACATTCATTCTAGATGGTAATATTGAAGAATATTAGATCATTGACCTATGGCTACTATCAACTTGTTTCTATCATAATTATGAAACTTGCCCGAGGTTCATTCAAGCGCGCATGAGGTGTCAAGCACCACAGCTAGGACTTGCTGGTTTATCACAGCCGGCATCCTCAAAATTCTGTGAACGAGTTTCGCCACCAGATTCTGGAACGGGGAGAGTATATAAATCCATCCAGACCTGAAACATTTCAAACTTTTGCATCATATGGTACGACACCATAACATTCACGTTGAATAATGTTACAGAATGAACCTAGACACTTTACACAATGAACATAGACTGTTTCTTAGTAGTGTACAGATTTGTAGGAATCTATTTTATTTCTTTCCTTAGTTAGCACATGCTGTACATGTATATATATGTATCACTACATGGAATAATATACCAATTTGATTCTTTCATACCTTGTTAATTACATGGTATCAGAGCCACATCTGTGGCTTCGCCGGAGTTGAGTTTGTGCCGGAGTTGACCAAAACTTTCCGGTAGACACGTAAGGTGCGTGTGTGGTCCATTCTCTGTCCAGCTTTGTTCTCCGAGATTAGCTTGGTATTTTCGATCGATTGTTGGTTATCCTCTGATAACAGAACCTTATTTTCGTGAAGAACAGACTCAGACAAGGTTGTATTAGATCAATTTTGGTCAGGTTTGAGTTCTTCTACTGTTTGGTTTGATTTTGGGATACTGAAGTAGTCGTGAAACAATATTCTTGCATCTGATTGCTTGTTTTGTGAATTGGTATTTGTTGGGTCTTCCTTGTAAGACGCTTTGTTACAATTTGATACTTGATATTATCTGTTGGGTCTTCCCTTATCAGAAACTTTGATGGTCTCTGATTTTAATTGATTTGGGGACATATTTGTTTGGTTCTCTGATTTGGTTGAGTGGATTATTGGAGTGGAGTTCTGTTAAATAGATTGTTGACTTTGTGTTTACCAGAGATCTGTTTTGGTATCTTTTAGCTTTGGGGACCTCTGTTAATTTAATCGGTTTGTTATTCAACAGAAAACATAATAGTAAAGAATAATAATGTAACAACTCCTAGTCCAGCAATCTTGGTTTCGGATGAGTTTCTAAAGTTCCTTCAAAATCATAAATCAGTTAAGGAATATTCTTCAATTACTGTCTTTGCTGGGTCAGATAAAACATGTCTTATCACCTCTTCCAATAAATGGGTGATCGATTCAGGTGCCACAAATTACATGACAGGTAATCCAAATATTTTTTTCTAGCTTTCGCTCACATAAAGCACCCTCTCTAGTTACTGTAGCTGATGGATCAACTTGTGGCAGTGCTAGATATGGGACTGTTAAACCAACTTCCTCTATTACCCTGTCATCTGTATTAAGTTTACCAAACTTGGCCTTTAACTTGATTTCTATTAGTAAAATCACCAAAGACCTTAATTGTTGTGTTGCATTCTTTCCCGATCATTGTTTGTTTCTAGATCTTACAACAAAATAGGTTATTGGTAAAGGATATTTATCTAGTGATCTCTACATCCTTGATGAATGGGAGCCACGGTCTATTGTATGCTCTAGTGTTGTGTCTCCTTTGAAGCACATTGTCGATTGGGACACCCCTCTCTACCTTTGTTGAAGAAGCTTTGTCCTTAGTTTCAGAATATTTCTTCATTGGATTGTGAGTCATGTCGATTTGCAAAATACCATTGCATCTCGTTAGGTCTAAGGGTTAATAAACAAGTTGAGTCAGCTTTTGAGTTAGTTCATTCTGATGTTTGGGAACCATGTCCCGTTGTTTCCAAAACTGGGCATAAGTATTTTGTCACCTTTGTAGATGATTTTTCTCGAATAACTTGGATTTACTTTATGAAGAGTCGCTCTGAAGTGTTTACTCACTTTTCTGCCTTCTGTGTTGAAGTCAAAACTCAA